GGGCCTCCCCCCCCCCCTCGCGCGGTCAATCAACTAGTTACAGTAACCAGCAAGAAGCAGAACTGTAACACTGGAAACTGCAAGCTACAACTGGTACTGGAAACTGCGAAACCGTGCCTCGCAGCCTGGTGGCCCCACAAGGGGGCCGGCGGATTTCTTGAATGTGGTCCTTAAGTACGACGGGAGCAACATCAATAAAGACGAGGAGGTGGAGCAGGAGGAGGAGGAGGAGGAGAAGGGAGGAGGAGGAGGAGGAGGAGGAGGAGGAGGAGGAGGGAGGAGGAGGAGGAGGGAAAAGGAGGAGGAGGGAGGAGGAGGAGGAGGAGGAAAAAGAGGAGGTGAAGCAGGAGGTTAAGAGAAAGGGAGGAATGTCCAGAGGGGGACAAGGAGCAGCCGCCCTCCGCCTCCCCTCTCCGCCTTCCTCCCCTCCCCTCCGCCCCCCCTTCCTCTGCACGACCCCTGCGCTCCAGTCGGGCTTGTCTAGAGGAGGAACATTCAAGAATAGTCGAACCAGAGTTGTCTGCAGACGATGTGTCTACTGTTTTTGACAATTGGTCCATCTGTGTTGAATTGTTTTATTTTTCTTCCCAAATCCGCCTGTAAGAGGGCATGCCAGACCTAGCATTGCGTGGGCTACATGATAGGTTCCTGTATGTGCTTCCTGTTCCTTCCCCTCCCCTCGCCCCTCCCTCCTCCGCCCACCTCTTGACGGATCGCCGCCGCTCCGCCCGCTCCTGGGCGTCAGCGTTGTCTGTCGCCTGCCTAGGGCGACCTTCTCACTTGCTGCTACTTTGGGTCGCTCTCGGCGAAGACCTGCGGTGCAGGCGCAGCGCAGTGCAGAAGCTCCCGGTCCCCTCGCTGTGGGCCGCCTCCGCCCCGCTGCCCTGCCTTCCACTGGTCGGCGGTCCGTTACCTGTCTCGTTCTCCGCGCTTCTCTGTCCGTCGCCGCTTCGTCCGCGGAGTCATAGCTCTTTTTGAATCAGCGCTCACATACGTACTGTCAGCCCGTATCGTGAGGATGAGAGCGACTTTCCATGGCCACCCACACATCTTCGCACGTTCGGGCCCATACTTGGCAACTCTCGCTGGCCAACCTCGTTCGAAAAACGTTGACATGGCCCTCCAAGGCCCTTGCATCCTCGACGCGCATCCTCATCATACGGGTTGACTGTACGTGCGCTGGGCTAGAGAGGAGGAGATGGAGGAAGAGGAGATGGAGCTGGAGCAGGAGATGGAGGCGGAGGAGGACGAGGAGGACGCGGAGGGGGAGGGGGAGGGGGACCGGGATGGGGGAGGAGGAGGAGGAGGAGAAGGAGAGGAGGAGGAGGAGGAGGAGGAGGAAGGAGGAGAGGAGGAGGAGAGGAGCGGGGAGGAGAGCAGGAGGAGGAGGAGGAGGAGCAGGAGGAGAGAGGGAGAAAACGAGAGGAGAGTAGGAGGAGGAGGAGGGGAAGAGGGGGAGGAGGGGGAGGGGAAGGGGGAGGGAGGAGAGACGAGGAGGAGGAGAAGGAGGAGGAGGAGGCGGAGGCGGAGGCGGAGGCGGAGGGGGAGGGGGAGGGGGATGGGGGAGGAGGTAAGATAAGATAAGATAAGACGAGGGCGGACGGCATCCAAGCAACCGACCGCGGAGATAAAACGGAGACAGATTAAACCGACTCCTCATCCTCCCCCGCACCCCGACGGGCGGCCTGCAGCTCCCAGTACGGGAGCGAGCCCACCGTGAGGCCGAAGCGGGCGAGGAGGGGCCCTCGCCCCATGGGAACCTGCCACGGCGGTCCCCTGGGGAAAACGGCTCTGGAGGCGGGCGGCGACACTCTCGCCTGGGGACGGTCGAGAATGGCCCTCGCCAAGTCCAGGAGATCTCCTGGGACGGGCCTCTCGAGACAGCCTACCCTCCAGCCTTTGTACTTGCTAAGCCACCTGGGGAAGAGCCCCGCGAGCAACCTCGAACGCTGCTGCTTGAGCCCCTTCCCCGCATTGTGACCGTGACATTCGCGGACAGCGAGCTCCCTGACCCCGCCCCACGCATAAGCCCCACACGAAATACAGCACACGATGCGTGGGGCGGAGACAACGGAGGCTCCCGTCTGATCAAAAACGTGGCACACACGCAGGTTGTGCTGAGACAGCCTCATCAAAATATTGAGCTCAGGGTCACACGGCCCCGCCTGGGCAGTGGCAGAAAGCACAGCCGTGAACCGCACAGACACGGGGGGAATGGGGCGCTCGAGGGGGCGGCCCTGGCGAGGGCCCGAACCAGGCACCAGGCGCTTATCAGGCAGGCCCTCCGAGTCCACCCATCCCCTCTCCCGCATCAGAAGCCCCTGCCGCCCAACCCACTGGCCCAACTCCCACCCCAAGAGTCTTAAACCAGCGATTTCACGGGCGGCCTGTTCGACCGATGGATGCTGACCTGCCCCTCGCTTCGCGAGGGC